CTGTGTGACCTTGGACATGCCCAAAGCCCCCCACATCCCGTGATGTTTCCCCCTTGTACAGAGATAAGAACTCGGTAACATAACTAAGTCCCTGTGACTCGTAACAGGACCAAACCCACAGCAAGCACTTCAAAAGCTCTTGACTGCATTGCTGTCATTATAATGAATGATAGGGTATCATGATAATCACCATTCACTTTGGGTCCTGGAGGGGTGTTATTGCCGAGGCTCGCATAGCCACATGCCAAGGGCAGTGTCAGGAAGCGTGAGACTGAAGGGGGAAACTAGGTCAAAGATAAGACTTTGAACACATGGCTATATTCCCCGCACTCAGGAGGTGGAGGCAAAAGGACCTCAAGTTCCAGGCCCATCTGGGATATGCAATGAGAGACTATCTTAAGACAAACAAACATGGTTGCCAGAGTGGTGGAAAGGGGTTGGGGCTCCTGCTATTTCAGCCTCGCACCTCCAACCTGGGAAATGACCCCAGAAAGAAACTTCTAAGTCACTGGTGGAGACAGGGTTGTGCGGAGGGTGGGGTAGGGTGGGTGCGTGTTCAACAAGGAGCACAGCCACGGGCTTTTTCTTTTTTCTTTCTTTTTTTCTTTTAAAGGAAAATCCTGAGGATCAGGACTTTCTGTCTCTTTTTTTGTTTTTTTAAGATTTATTTATTATGTATACAACATTCCATCCATGTATGCTTGCAGGCCAGAAGAGGGCACCAGATCTCATTATAGATGGCTGTGAGCCACCATGTGGTTGCTGGGAATTGAACTCAGGACCTCTGGAAGAGCAGTCAGTGCTCTTAACCTCTGAGCCATCTCTCCAGCCCCCCAGGGGCTTTTTCTAGAGTCCACACATACTGGTGTGTGTCTGTAATTTTAGCACCCTAGGCTGAAGCAGGATGGCTGAGAATTTGAGGCCAACCTCATTTAAGGTTCAATCAATAAGGCTCAATCAGTCTCAATCAGTCAATGGCTATGCGTGTTACTTCAGTTTACAGAGTGCATGTTTCCTATGCACAAATTCCTGTGTTTGATCACCAAATGTGAGGGCACACACAGTAATCCTAACACTCAGGAGCTAGAGGCCCGTGAATCACAAGTTTAAGGTCTTCCTTGACTATCACACAGAGTTAGTTGGAGGTCAGCCTGTGGTACACGAGAACCTGTTTCAAATAAACAAATAATCCCTAGGGATGGGAGTGCTAAATTATCTGGCCTGGGAAGCCAGTTCCTAGAGTCTAGCCCAGGCCTGGCCCCCCACCCAGTGGGAAAGAATGTGTTTTCATCAGGAAAATGAGAGTATATTGATCCATAGTTCTCAACAACTTCTTTTACAGCACGTTTTCTCAGACGCTGATTGAACAAGCTACATACTATATGTATTAAGGAAAGACATTCCAGTTAGGTGATCAATAGCCAACCCTCTCTTTCTGAGGGTCTCTGGGGCATGCATGTCCTTAGGGCCATGGGACACAGGGATGTCATTTAAAAGCCAGGGCATGCCTTTCATCCCAATGCTTGGAAGACAGAGGCAAAGAATAACAACAAAATTCCAGCCAGACTGTATTCCTGGCGATCTTCCATTTTGATGTTGTTCTGCCGTGGGATGAGATGGGTGTCTTAGGTGGGAAGAAACGGACAGGAACATGGCGTTGTATTTCAGCTCAGCAGTGTGGAGGAACAGTTGCATGAACCAAGGAAACATCTACCCGGCGTTTGTCTGGACCCATTCATTTATTCCTCACGGGTGGACGTGGGCAGAGGACTTAAGGTCTTTCCAGGTCCTGCAGGAGGCTTGCGGCACAGTAGGGATATAGACACTCCTGGTCTAGCTAAGTTTAGGGGCAGCAAAAGAGCAGGCAGCTCTGCCCCAGCCACACATCACCAACCTAGAGAGTGCAAGCCTGGTTTCAAGCGAGGCACAGCCACAGAGAGGCAGAGGAGGAGCCGAGGATGACACGGAGGCAGCTGAACGCGAATGTGGCTAAGGAGAACGACGGAAATGCAGAGTGGAGAATCATAGAATCATACGCGAGGGACCAGGGTTTGAATCCCTACTCCTTTATCCTAACTCTGAGGCCTTTCTGGAAGCGAGAGGTGAACGGGGTGGGGGTGGGAGCCCTGATCCCCTGATTCAGAACTCTCCTCTAGTTCTCAAAGTCCTGGGATGAACGGAAGAAATGATCAGCCCAAAGCCCCCGTGGAGCCTCATCAGTTACACTGCGGGAGGAGCCCCGCTCTGTTCCAGGCTCCGCAGCTAAGAAGGGTTTGCCTGTGTTGATGGGATAGCCCTGGCCCGAGGGACTGAGGTTGAGGCCTTGGATGCAGCAAGCTTGCTTGTCCTGTTCTTCAAAACCCTCCGATCTGTGTCCCTCCCCCAGTTCTCAACCCAGTGGCTTGTACATCGGTCCAGCTGTGGCAATCCCAAGAGAGGATTCCTGCTGGGGCCTTCTTGCTCCCAGGGCCGGCATCCACGGTTAGCTGGCTCTGGCAGCCCAGACTGCTGAGAACCAAGGTGCCAGAAGCACTGGGCAGCTTGGGGCTGAGTCCCAGCTGTTACACTCTTTCACCTTGGGCAAAGCCCCAAACCCTCTGAGCTCAGTTCCTCCTCTGCTTGTTAGAGATAAAGAGGAGTAACCGAGACCGTCTCCCGGGGTCACCCGATAAGACACCTGGCACTGAGCAGGGAGGCCCCAGCAGTGATTAGCCCAGCTTATCCGCCTTAGCAGAGCCAGGGCTATCAAGTAGCCTCCAAATGCAACCGAGATGTTAGAAAATGAGGACTTGCTGGGTCCCCTGCCGTCTGGACACACACGGAGCGGTCACACAAATGTTCTCTTTGCAAACGGTTCTCTGTCGACTGCTATGGAGCACCCTATTAAAAACGATCGGCAGTCCTCTCTAGCATGGAGTGGCCCTTTTCTGCTCCCTCCTTCTCCGTAGTGTCTCACTGATACAGCTTCTGCTTCGTGGGGCTTGGTACTGTTGGCACCGTGAGAGCAGAGTTTTGGCTGACAAACAGAAGACTGTTAGCACACAGTAGGTGCATACAAAACAGGTGATCTCAGTGATGGGAGCTGTTATGGTTGCTGCAAGCCAGCACTCTAGGGAGGGCTCATGTTCTGTTCCTAACCCAGCACAGCTGTGCTCATGTTCAAGGAGGAAGATAATACAGACTAGAAAACAGGAGGATCTGGAGACCCAGGCCATTGAAATTGTAGGTCCCCTGCAGGGACCTCAGGTACCACACTCCACACACACTGGGTCGGCTGACCCGGTGGCCTTCACTTGCCTGGACCCATCTCCTGGGCTCCCTCTTCACCTTTGACCCTATGCCCCTCCTTCTGCCCTCTCCTCAGGAAACTAGCCGACTGTGCCCAGCTGCTGGAAGTGGATGACATGGTGCGGCTGGCCGTGCCCGACTCCAAGTGTGTCTACACCTATATCCAGGAGCTGTACCGGAGTCTCGTGCAGAAAGGGCTGGTGAAGACGAAAAAGAAATGAAGGGCAGAGCCGTGCGGGTGGAGAAAGTGGGGGGCCCAGCCAACAGCCATGGCCTTGAGGTGCTTCTGAAGTGCTCCCCGGTGTCATTAAAAGTGCTTTTGTAAAGTTGCTCTTGTTCCTTGATGCTCCCCGCACCCCAATCAGCCACACGTGTGTGCAATAGGCAGTGACCAAAAATGAAAAGAAGCCTGCATTTGGAGCTGTGGGTGGCAGTTTCCCAGGTGTCCTCTCTCTCTCTCTCTCTCTCTCTCTCTCTCTCTCTCTCACACACACACACACACACACACACACACACACACACACACACACACTTCTCCCCCCACAGTGCAGGGGGGAGGACTTCTAGACAGGAACTAGACCATCTCTAGAAATCTCACCCAACTGGGCTGCTGCAGCCGGCCAGTGAGTGGTGCTCTCGAGATGGACGGCAATTCTAACTCAATGGTTTTCAAATGAAACGAATCCCTCCCAGTGTGGCTGAAGTTTTGCCTTGTGTTAACTCCACTGTATTGAAGCTCAGTTGGTCAGAGAGCACTGGTCTGGTGTTTGTGAAGCTGAGGGTTCATTCCCTAGCACCAGAGAGGGGAAATCAGATATGCTGTCCAGGCTATAGGAAGAAATGTGGCCTCCGCTGATTGACAGATGTCCACTGGAAGGCGTCTTGAGGATGGTCCACTCAGGACCGGCGTTCCTGATCGTGCGTGGAGAATAGCACTAGAAGCAGAGCCCCACTCTTTGCCAGGCCCCAACCAGCCCTCTTTCTAAGGAAACACTTAACCCATGCAGCTCAGAAGGCAACAGGTCTGACTGGCCTTGATGGAATCCTCAGGACCTACATGGTGAAAGAGAAAACTCTCTCCCAAGAATTGTTCTTGTACCTCTGCTCCCAGGCCTTGGTATGGTCACCCACTGTTCACAAACACACAAAATAAAAAGGCAACAAACACTAAAAACAAACAAACAAACAAACAAAAAAACCTTTCCTCTCATGGAAAACTTAGCTGAACTCTGGAATTCATCTGTGAAGTTAATGGCAGACAAGCATATACATTTTGTGGAGCCCCATGGACTAGAGGTTAGAGGTACACAAACCCCTTCTTGAGGCCTAGCCCCCAGAAACGAAGCCAATCAGAGAGCAAGCCATCTAGAACCCTGAAGTCTGATTCCTCGATAGAGTTTAAATTCTTCATTTTGAGATTCATCAGTGCAAAAACAAAATGATTAACACTTAAGTTGGGGCATGCCTTTAACAAGTGTGACTGATTCCAATCACTCAGTAGTGAATTTGGCTCCTTCTAGCCATAGTCCTGTCTTCCTTCTTCCTTGGTGCCTGGGCCCTGAGGCATTCAGTTTCCTACCAGAGAGCTGAAAAGCAGGCCCGAAACTGTGCAGACCTAACTTGCACTGGCTTTGGGAGCGGCCAAGCGTGTGGGAATGGCACCTCTACCGCCAAATGACTTGAGGAAGGAGCACACACCACATAGACCTCCCTGCGCGCAACACACTAGGCACATTTATTCATAATTAGCAGTGACAAAGGAAAATGTGAGCAGAGGATAGGCCTCCAAAGGCCTCTGGTGCCAGTCCTGATATCTACCCACTAAGCAGAAATCTAGGCAAAAAGGCCTGAGAAGGAGAGCTAAGAGGGTCGGTCCTCTCCAAATCGAAGAGTGAACTCTTCTGCGTTTCTCTTGAACATCTCTGGGTTCTGGGTCAGGAGTTCAGCAAGTTCCAACTGCACAGGCTCTTCTAGATTGGGTTTACCCACCAGCACAATGAGGGCCTCCAAGACTGGGGAGAGAGAACAGAGAGGGGGGTCAGTGCCAAGGAGGAGAAGGTCAGGGCTGTCATACCCAGATTCTCCTGAAGCCCCAGAGTCATTCCTCAGGGGACCCCAAGAGGTTTCCATCATTTAGGATGGCTCCACAGCCAAAGGAGATGTCCCTCTCATACATTTCATACAGGGTCTGGCTACGGAGCCCACCTGCCCTGAAAACAGAGCTCCTCCTCCTCCTCCCGGGTACCACGACTACTGACACGCACCACACCTGACTCTAGATCTGTAGTTTTTTTTAAAAAAAATATGTATTTATTTACTTATTATGTATACAATATTCTGTCTGTATGCCTGCAGGCCAGAAGAGGGCACCAGACCTCATTACAGATGGTTGTGAGCCACCATGTGGTTGCCGGGAATTGAACTCAGGACCTTTGGAAGAGCAGTCAGTGCTCTTAACCGCTGAGCCATCTCTCAAGCCCCCTAGATCTGTAGTTTCAAAACAATTATTTGTCATGACTTCAAAGAAGCTTCTCACAAGACAAGCGAGATTCCTGGTCTTCAATCTCACTCCTTTTTATTTGTTCTTCTTTCATATCCTGACCACAGCCTCCCTCCACTCCTCCCAGTCCCCATCCTACACCTCCCCTCTCCCCTAGATCCACTCCTCCCCCCTTTCCCTTCAGAAAAGAGCAGGCCACCCTGGGATACCATCTGAACATGGAATAACAAGATGCAATACGATTGGGCGCAAACCCTCCCTCATATCAAGGCTGGACAAGGCAACCCAGTTGGAAGAAAAGGGTCCCACGAATAGGAGACAGAGTCAGAGACAGCCCACTCCCACAGTTGGGAGGAGTCCCACAAAAACCCAAGTTAAACATCTCCAGCATCTATGCTGGCAAAGGACCTGGCATAGACCCATGCAGGCTCAGTGATTGTCACCTCAGTCTCTGTGAGCCCCTATGAGCCCCCTCAGACTCTACAATCCTTCCCCCTGCCTTCCACAGAGTTCCCCAAGCTCTGCCTAATGTTTGGCTGCGGGTCTCTGCCTCTGCTCCGTGGAAGCTCAAAAAGTGAGCCTATTAACACCTTGTCTGATAGAGAGTTTGCAAGTTCCTTAAAATGTGACAAGTGTAGCTACACGTCCTGACTCAGGATGTGACTACTTGGTTCTTTTGACATTAAGATGGCTCATACAGGTAGATCCACTCCATCCTGTGCAAATGTACATCTGCTCCTTCTTTTGTAATAGGAGGTTACCTGGGAAGTGGCTGCCTTCAGGATACTTGGTCTAGGGTGGCTTCGCTGCCTAAACAACAGAATGCTAATGACTTCATGCCTCTAACTGTCAAAGCAATTGACTGTTTGAGTTGTCATTTGTATCATGTTAAAAAAGTGTTTTATTGCCTTCTTCCCCTTTTGTATTGGGTATAAAAGTGTATGGAAAATTAAATGCGCAGGTGATTTCAGTACTCACTGCAACACCCTCCTGGTACTATTCTATGGTTTCTGTTTTATTATTTTTCACACGTCTTTGTATTGTTTACTAATTTTTCTAAATCCCCATGCCCTTACCCTGGCAAGAGGTGTTTTCATGGAGGCTGCTCCCGACACTGCTCCCTTCAGCTACTGGAGGAAGCATCCCCAAGGATGATTGGGTTAGGCTCTGATTTCTAGGTCTCACTTTCACTCTTTATAAGAGTTCCTGATTTTCTGTTTTGTTTTTTAGGTCTCTCTCTCTCTCTCTCTCTCTCTCTCTCTGCTGGGAACTGAACAGTCCTCAGCAAGAACAGCAGTCATTCCTAACTGATGAGCCACGTCTCAAACACCCTAGTTTTCTGCTAGGTTGGAATTTTAAAGAAACTTTTATTTGAGGTGAAGGAGTTCTAAATTAAAGACTAAAAACCATTCCCACCCCAATGGCTTTTAATCTTTCTCAGCTGCGCATGAACCATGGCTCAGTTTCTCGGTCACACCTGAAGAGTATCCAGACCGTCCAGTATCTTGGGAAGCATCCCTTCATCCCACAGGCTCACCTGGACTTTATTCACTCTAAAATGTGCTTGGGCGGGAGAGATGGCTCATCAGTTAAGAGCATTAACTGCTCTTCTAAATGTACTGAGTTCAATTCCCAACACCCACAGGGTGACTCATAACTCTCTACAACTGTAGTCCCATGGGATCCAATGCCCTCTTTTGCTGCACATACACACAGACAAAACATCCACATATATAAAATACATAAGTAAATAAGTGTATTTATTTGGGCCGTGTCGATGACTCAGCAGTTAAGAGTACTACATTTGATTCCTAGCATTCACATGGCACCTCACAATTGTCTGTCCCTCCAGTCCCAGGGTTCCAACACCTTCTTCTGGCCTTCACAGGCACCAGACATGCATATGGTTCAGAGACATACATGTAGACAAAGGATGCATACATACTAAATAAATAAATGTTTAAACATTTTTATTTATACAGCCTTAAGTTTCTATGCGTCAGTATCTTGCCTCTGTGTGCATGTGTGCCACACGCATGCAGTACCCTTGACGGCCAGAAGAGGGCACTGGACCATCTGGAACTGAAATGATAGATGGCTGGGAGCCACCGCCTGAGGTCTGGAAGCAAACCCAGGTCCTCTGCAGAGGCAACATGTCCTCTAACCTTGGAGTCACCTCTCCAGCATCTATTTATTGACTCAGGCTCTAATGTAGTCCAAGTAGACCTCAAATTTGTTATGCAATTGAGAATTAACTTTTTATATTAATTTATTTGTTTGTATATGATACATGGGAATCTGACACATACCTGACACATACATGCCACAGAGCTTGTGATGAGGCTTATGTGGTGTGGAAGACTGACCCTAAGACCTTGTAAGACAAGAACTCCACCAACCGACTTCCACCCCTTTCCCTAGCTCGTCTCTTTAAACCTTTAACTCAAATTAAGCCCCAAATATCCCCCACACAATGGCCCCCACATACACTAACCCTCTTCTGGGCAAGGCCAGCCCTACCTTGGTAGGTCTTGGTGTAAGGCTTCCAGTTCTTGATGCTGATGAGGGGCAGGCACACCAGCCCATCCTCGCTGACGTTGGGGTGGTAGATCTTGGTGATGAATTTCAAAGTGGGAGGCTTTAATGGATACTCCCTGGGGAAATCGATCCGCAGACGGAAAGCTTTGAGGTTATAGGGAGCTTGGTTCTGGTGAGAGAAGACACTGAGTTCTGTTCTGGTGATGCAACCCCCTGATAGATGGCTTTTCTCCAAGGGTTCTGATCTGGTTCCCTCCTTTTCCCATCCCAGGATCCCGGGTGTTCTCTGTTCTGCTCCCAGGAAGATATGAGCGTTTGGCAACTGCCTTAGAAATAAGAGGAAGGATAGACTTACACAAGACCATTGGACTGCCTGTCAGAAAAATCTGACCCTGGGTTTTACTCTGTTGTCCTGTGTGAACCACCTCTCATCCCTGAACCTCAGTGTTCTCAACCAAAAAATAGGACAGAAACCCAGAAAATCACACAGACAGATCTGGTTAAACTCAATGGGTCACAACACAAAACAGGCAGACATGTGAGAAGGAGATGCCCAGGGCAGAGAAGAGGCTGCCAGGAGAGCAGAGTATGAGTGTGTGTATGTGTGAAACGGTCGAAGAACAAAGTTACTAATCAAAAATGGTGCAGATGCTACGGAAAACCAGAAAGCAGTTCTCCAAAAATCAAAATGAGATTCATCAATTCCACTTTGGTAAATATTCCTCAATTTTTTTTCAAGATTTACTTATTTTATGTGTGTGAGTGAGTGCCCACATGGAAGTCAGAAGGCGTTGACTCTCCCGAGACTGGAGTTACAGACAGTTGTGGACCACTGTGTGGGTGCTGGAAAAAGAAGTCAGGTCCCCTGCAAGAGCAACCAGTGCTCTTAACTTCTGAACCATTTCTCCAGGGCTCCCCAAAGATTTTTTTTTTTTTTTTGGTTTTTGGTTTTTCAGGACAGGCTCTCTCTGTGTAGTCTTGGCTGTCCTGCAGCTCACTATGTAGACCAAGCTGGCCTTGAACTCGCAGAGATCCATCTGTCTCTGCCTTCTGAGTGCTGGGACTAAAGGCATGTGCCACCACCAACCAGAGGAATTTTTTTTAATAAAATCACTTTAATGTAATGAAGTCACAAATAAAAAATCACAGAGTTAAGGTAGCTACTCAGATAAATGCTTGTCCAGTCCCAAACTCTATACATCTCAGTGAACTTCTACACAGCTAGAACAGCCTTTCTGAACCATGTGACTTCCCTTAGGTGTTCTGTTTTGTTTGAATTTATTCTTCTCTTGTATAATCCATTCTGACCAAAGCCTCTCCTCTCTCCACTCCTCCCAGTCGTGGGGTCCTCCTCCTGCGTCCCCCCCTTCAGAACAGAGCAGGCCTCCCAGCGACAGCAAATGATTGGGTTTTACACGTCCACTCTCGGTTACAGACACGAAAGGAGAAACTACGAGAGGGTCTTTATAGCCGCTGTCCTGACTCCTGTGTCCTTTTACCTGAGCTCTGTCCGTCCTCATCACCTAATGTACCCATTCTTGGTCCCCCTCCTAATGTCACACTGTGCCCACCCTACAGCTGTTTGCATGTAGACACTACAGACCAGGATCTGCATATGAGAAAGAACATTCTGGTTGGTTTTGTTGTTTTGCTTGAGTGGCCCCACTTTCTAGGCCTATTCATTTGCCTGCAAATTTCATGGTTACACTTTCCTATACAGCTGAAGAAGATGAATAAATTGCTAGAGACACATAATACATGCTAAAGACACATAATACATGCTAGAGGCACATAATACATGCTAGAGGCACATAA